TCTTGAGTATATATTTGTAAAGAATCAGAATACTTTGTTTTATACAGCTTCAGCAGTCTGTTGTCAGAATTCATTCATTTCTACTATTTATCTTCATTACTCTTTAAATAAAAGATCTTGAGTTCAGAATTGATTAATATATATATAGAGTTTATCTGATTATATGAGACTTTTTATAATTATAAAATCAATTAACTGATATTCTTGATACTTCTATCTGTTGTCTAAATTATTAGAGAGTATATTTTATTCTCAGCAGAATAGAGCATCTGTAAGAGCATTCTCTATCTCTGATTGATAATAGATTATAAATAAAAAATAATTAAGAAACAGTAATTAGTATATATATCTCTCTGTAAGCTTATAAGTAATTGTAAAGTATTCTAGATTCTTATAATCAGTGATAATCTCAAACTTCTTTACACTTATAAACTCAGATTTCTATTCTTTGAAATATTATATAATCATCAGAAGCTTCTTATTATAGATTTTATAATTATATTCAGCAGATAATATTTTCTTTGAGATAAAGATACAGAGTTATAGAATATTTTCATTGTTGTATTGTATCAACACTTCATTTATTATATATTCTGAGATATTTATTTTAAAAATTGTATACTTATTCAAATCAAATAATTGCAGCATTGAGATAGTTATAAATATATACTTCAACTTTTTGAAGATAGCATCTGCTTCAGTGATTCATTGAAATACAGTATTCTTTTATATCAAATCTGTTAGTAATTATATGATATTCAAGAAGTTTTTAATAAATCTTCAATAGAAGTTGATAAATTCTAGAAAACTTCTAGTCTTTTTTATTAAGATAGATATTTCTCAGTTAAGAATTGTTTCTATCTTTTTAGAATTTATTTATACATCTCTTTCAGCTTCAATGATGAATTCTAGATAAATTGTAGATTTAATCTTGAAGTTATATTTATCAATATTCATTTATAGTTCAATTTCTTATAAACAGTTGAGTATTTATTGTATATATTTGTAATATTCAGTGAGTGATTCATTAGTGAAAATCAGAATATTATTTATATACACTGATATAATCTTATTAAATAGATCTTATAGAGCTCAGTTGATATATTTCTGAAATATACTGAAAGCATTCACTAACTTAAAGAAAGTTACTGTTCATTTATATAGTTTATAATATATACAAAAGATAATTAATTATTCATTATCTTTATTAATTTTTATTTTATAGAAGGCTGCAGAGATGTCAAACTTTATAAATTATTTTACTTTTTCTATTTATTTAAACATTTCATTGATAAGTAGAAAAGAATATCAGTCTTTTTATATAATTTTATTGAGCTCTCAATAATCAATACAGAATTATAGATTTTTATCTGATTTCTTTGCAAATAATACAGATGCTGCAGTAGATGAATTACTAATACAGATAAAACTTTTATTCAGTAATTTATTGAATATTTTTTATAGAATAAAAAGCTCATTATATAATATACTATAAAGAAGATCTTAAGATAATTGCAGATTTTTATTATTTTTCTTAATAAGCTCAATTGTATAATCTATATCATATTTTTGATAAGAGAAGAGTATCTCAGCTGCTTTTTTATCAAATACATCTGTAAAATTCTTATACATTTCAGAGAGTTCTTTACAGAGCTTTTTAAAGTTTTTAAACTCTAATTTTTCTAATACTTTCTTAATATCTGTTATACTAGCAGCAAATATCTGAACATTCTTCTTCTTATATATTTAATGAATTAATAATTTGAATATTTCTGTCAATATCTGAGTGAGATTAGCAGTTCTATTGATATTCTTTTTATAGATATAGTTACTTTCTAAGAAAATAAAATAATAATTGTATATATCTAATAAAATTTCAAATTCTGTAAGCTATAACAGATCAAATATTAAATTATATTCAAGATTCTATATTTTATATACATAAACATTCTTTTTCTTATACTTTTCTACATTGATATTAAATCTTATTATATTATAGAAGATAAATTCTCTGAAGCTGTTGAATTCACTGAGTTTATATAATTCAGAGAAGAGAATATACTGAAGTTTATACTTCTCAATCAGCTGAATATTTATAAAAATATAGTAAAGAAAACCACTGTCTATTATTACTTGTATATTAACTAAGCTATTTACAATAATAGAGACTATAATTATATCTGCTTGCATCTTCTGCTCAAATCTTCAGCTAGTTTTTTATTTCTTAAACTTTTATTTATATTTTAGAATAAAAGCTCTTTTTTTCTCTGTTTCTGCTTATTCACAGATAATACAGCATTTATATATACAGAGAATCAACTCAGAAGAACTATATTTAAGTACTGATTTATAAAATACTTTGATTTATTATAGTATATACAGACTTCTCTAATAATTCAATCAGCAGTATTCTTATCTAAGATATTGAAAACTCTTGAGTATCTAATATTCATATAAAAGATTCAGTTCATTGACTCTGATTCAGATGCAGAGATTATTATAAAATAATTTGAAATATATATATTTATTCAGCAGAATCTCTTACAGTTCTGAAATATATAGAATTGAAACAGATTATTATTGAGTAAACAGAGATTCACACAATATTTACTGTATATTAAAAATCTCAGATACTCTACACTGTAGTTATATAACTAGAAGTTTAAATTCTTGAACAGTATATTGATTTTAATGATATTATTTCAGTTCTATCTGTCTGCTTCTAAGAATTTGTAATTAAATTTAGATAGATAGATTGCTAACACAGTATTCTTCTGATAGATTTTATTTAATCAGTTTAATATCTTGATTTAAAGTATAGAATTAAGAAAGAGAGTATTAAATTATTAAAAAATCAACTCTGATATATACTGATTATCTGAATAGTAATTTATTCAGAGTTGAAATTTCACTAATATATTATTATCTAATCTACTATAAATATATCATATTTAATTTGATAGCAAGTCTATTACTTGATCATCAATATTCAGTTTAGTATTTACTTTTAACTTTTATATAAGATATAGTACTAGATTTTCTATATATTTATCAAGAATTGAGAGCTTCTTTTTTGAAGACTTCTTATGAGATGTGGATGTAAAGAGAATGATGAATATAGATATACTCATTTCAGTAAATCATTATTATAACTCAGTCATTTGCAGTACTTACTACTGAAAAATATTTTATAAATCTAAATTATTATTTATTATATTCAAATACAGCAGATGTTTGTAGATCTGTTGATAACTTATTTCAGTATCTAAAAATATATAATTCTAGAGAATGAGATATTTATAGACACTCAGATTTTTGTAATACTATTTACAGTATTATAGTACTAAATTTATCAAGCTTTTTTGTAAACACTATTCACAGTGTTATAATTTATAGATACTCAAGTCTCTTTATAAGACAGTTAATTATATCACAGATATTTAGATATAATAGTCTATATATTTAATAATAAAAGTATTCAGATTCAATAAGAAACTTATATAATAACTAAATACTCAGATCTTTTAATATAATTGACACACTCAGATATAGAAACTGATAATAAGATACTCAGATTTTAAATATAATTAATATACTCAGATATAGAAATCTAATAACTAGATATTCAGATTTTAAATACAGATGAATCAATTTATAATATAATAGATATATTATCAATTAAATAGATGTTATTAATATTGCAGATTAAATCATTTATATTATCTGTACAGTTCATACAATTCATTTCAATAACAATATCAACAAATTTAATACTATTCTAATAACAGTTTATAAATTGATTAAGAAAAGAAAGAGAAAGAAGATTAGAAGAAGAGATTGTATAAAAGGATTTTTATAGATAAGAGAATCAGAGCAGAAGAAATATCAGAGATTGCACTTTGAAGAAGCACAGAGTAAAAGAATTATTAGAGTATTAAGATATATATAATTATAAAATGAAATTATAAAAAGATGTAAGAGAACTTCATGAGTGTATATAAGTATATAAGTATATGATAGAGGGTTGATTGTGTAAGTTAACTATCAACAGATGCTAATCTGTCACATATATCTCTACATTTATAAGTAATTGTAAAGATGTTTTATATACTCTTATATATTTACATCTCTCTTTTTATAATTCTACTCTATACTTGTATAGTCTCTAATAATTTCTTTATATAATCTTTAATATTCTTCTACTTTGTACTTTACTATAGTATAATTTTTAATATTTTTTTATTTTAATTTTTTTTCTATAAAAATTCTTTTATACAATTCTTTCTTCTGATTTTTTTTTTCTTAATCAATTTATAAACTATTATCAGAATAATATCAAGTCTGTTGATAGTACTGTTGAAATGAATTGTATAAACTACACAGATAATATAAATAATTTAATCTGCAATAATAATAACATCTGCTTAATCAGTGGCATATTTATTACACTTACATCAGTATTGATAGAAGTTTTATTTCAATAATTAATTAGAATTAGATTAGATAAATTATATAGATTACACTAAAACACATTAATACAGCAGATTTCTCATATCATTCAGTAGTTTTTATATATTTAATACACTATAGTACATGCTAAAAAATTGTGCTAATTGTGCCTCGCCCTCAGACAAGGAGATATAGAGGTAATCACATGCAGTGGAGGGCCACCTGGGCGACTAGTGCCCAACAAGATTAACCATTCTACAGATTGTGCTAGGTTTGGATCACATGATATGCTAGCCATGCCCATTGACTTTTGTTTTTTGTTTTTTTTTCGGGGGCTATCTTCCTTCTGTTTAACTCCCTTCTGGGGATTGACTATATTTGTGCATAATCGCTCTTTAGCCCAGTCTTGATTTCATGCTTGACTTCTGCATCCATACCTCGCCATCTACTCTCCTTGCTCTCCATTGTCAGTCTCTGGAACACTAATTATGCCATTCATCATTCCATCAACTCGCGCAGGAGTAACAGCACCTTTCCTCTTATCAAAAACCATGTCGTCTCTTACTTCTGGACAGGTCCTGGCGGGAGCAAAATGGAACTATCGGCTCATTGATGCTCTGGAGGGAGATGGCACGCACCAATCTGTAGCTTTCAAAGCCAAAGTCATACCAAAATATGGTGTTCTTGATGCTCCTCAGTGGTTTGTTATGTTGCATTGAGTGTCTGCAAACTCCAAGGCTAACCCTTCTAACCAGGGCTTTCATCAAAACCGCTGCCCCGAATGATCCACACGCTAGAGAGAATCTGAAACGTGAACATGAGAACTACCTCCTTCCTAGCATCGCATCGGGCGCATGCTTCCGGAAGATGTACGACGCGATCGGCGATCCCAGTGATGGTGGTGGCATATCGTATGCTGCTTTCGAATGGCTGGACACCACACTGGCTGGCGTGGAATACCGGCCTGGCAAGTGTAAATATGCTATAGCCAAGGCCATTATAAAAACAGTTTTGAGAAGCTGTATCATTCTGGCGAATGAAGAACTTGTCAATACAGGCAGGAACACCTGGTTTTCAAGTGATGGCATCGGCTAATGAGATCAGATTACAAGCCTGCGAATATATTGCTCTCCGACATTGACACTAATGATATTACTGTGAAAGTGGGAGACTTGGGACTCGGTGAGTAGGCATAGATTGGTCGGAAACATGCTTATGCTGACATGTCTGCAGTATTTCAGTCTGGTTCTCGTTGCTCAGCCCAACCATACGCCATGCGTGCCCCTGAAGTCTGGCAAGGCCAGCCCTGCACTGAACCCTCGCAGGTCTGGGCACTTGCTGCAATGTTGCTATGCTGGATGAAGCCTGGGATTTTGGGTACCTGGGGCTGTCCATCACCCATGATTCGTGAGTCATGGTGCATCGCAAAACTCATGCGACTCTTTCCTAGTTGGACCATTCCATCTCTTGATAATGATGTCCATCAATGTGAATTCAATGTGGCTAAAGCTCTCATTGACAATCCTCCATCAGCACTAGAACAGATTTCTGTTTTAGAGGATGAGTTGCAAAAGATGAATATGCCAATACAGTTGATGAACCTGCTTCATTTTATGTTGATTGTCAACTCAGACAAGAGGCCATCTGCTATCCATGTGTTGACATCAAATGAGTTTCTAGCTCTGGAGAAAGCTGTTGAAAGCACAGAGTAGAGAGCTGAGACTCCTTTCTGCTATAAAAAACTCAGTAGGCAAACAGTATGTTTCTGTGTTCTGCTGCACATCATCCTTTCTCTTTCCTTCTACCTTTATTGACAAAATATTGAAAAGAACAATGGTGATGTAAATCAGATTTAGAGTACCTCTAGATCTGCTCTGAGCTGAGCTGAGCCACTGAAACTTGGATGCTTTTTAGAGGATTTGAATGCTACATCGGGGTTTGATGAAACTGAGTTTCATAAGACTTTTATGACAGTTCAAAGATACAGATTGATGCAAATAATAAAGGCTCAAATAGTAATTTCAATGCTTCTTATCAATGATCTTGCCAGGAACGGCAAACAATGGGCAATAATGAGTGACAACAGCTGAGGCCCAAATGCAGTAAAATGATATCTCACACACACACTATTCTTGTTCATTCAACATCATATCCAAGCCTACTCTGCCTTGAGTACTATAACTCAGTATTGTGAAACAGGGGCCTAATTGGTTCTCTATTCACAGGAATCAACATCACAATCACACAAAAGAATGCAGATGACTGCTCACAGTCTGCTTGGATTCATCCTCCTGAACATGTCCACTCTTAACCTTGGAGCCTCCAGCATCTTCTCCCTGCACAGAGTAGTGGGCGTTGGGGTCACTGTCACTTCTGTGAGACATGTTGCTGTTTGTAGTTAGCGGCCATACAGGAAGAGCTTGAAGTAATAGCTTACGAGATGGTGATCTGTTCCATTGCCTTCATGTCGTCGTCCGTAAAGAGCTTTCCTTCTTCAAAGGCCGCTTTGGTTTTTGAAAGAGCAAGATTCTTCACTTGCGTATCGATAGCCCCGGTGAGGCGCTTGAAGCCGGTGCCAGACTCGGCGATGTAGACGGGGATGCTCTTAGAAAGAGTTTTGTTGAAGACATAGCCGAGAAGCGTTCCAGGCATGTTGACTGATATCAAGGTCAAATTGGCACAGAAGATGGCAAAACATCGAAAATAGTAGATGAATAAAAGATTGAATGAATGAGACTAGAGACTATAAGCACATGAAGGCCCTTTTTGTATAACATCACCTGGAGTGTTATTCTCGCTCAAACAGCGCAGTGTGTGCCCCTGACATGTTACCTCAAACAGAAGTGCATGTGGGGACGGTCCGGTCCGGTCCCACTCTTTGCCGATTGCAGTAGAGCACATACCACATGCTTTGACTGTGTAACCATGCATGGGACTGTGACCAACTTTTATGTAGGAGGATAATGTTGGGTTGTGTGTTTGTTAACTATCTAAGCGAGAGCAACACAATATGTTAGGTGGCACGTACCTGGGGTAGCTGTAGTAATGCCTAACTGTTGGGGGGATTGGGTTGGGTGGTTCGTACCCTCTTTACCACCATGGCGTTGGTGGTGAGTGAGCTCTTTTGCCCTAGTGGCCTAATAGGTTATGAGCCCGTGTAAGCGCGACTGCTACAGGGTGTAACAGCAGTACTTTTTATTTTGTTCCCTTTCTCTCCTTTTCCTTTATTTGTTGGGTTCTGGGGGTGTCTGCATGGGTATTCAGAGAGAGCTTATAGTGGAGGAGATTGATAAGTTAGTAACTAGTGGTTATATGAAGATGGATTTGCCTGTGTTCAAACATATGTTTCTATGGTGTTCAGCCAAGGCCCTCAAATAACCCATACATGTTTCATACAGTGAGCTATCTTCTTTGATCATATAAAAGAGATAACTTTTCTGTAATATTATGTACAATGACTGTATCAGTCTCTCTCTGAATGTGTATTTAATAATTATCATCTCACTACTGTATTCTTCTCTCTCTGCTCTTGTATTGATTTCTATTCTTAACTATTCTTATTCTTATTCATCTACTTTGAAATCTTTGTATCTTTATATAAGTGAGAAAGACTGATAATAATCTCTACTGCTGATACTGTTGTTGAAGCAGCTGCTATACAGAAGTAGCTACAGTATGATTTTATTATAGAGATGATAGTATAGAGAGAGAATACACTGAGAATCAGCAGACAAAGTAGATTAAAGAATACACAGATAGTATACACAGAGAAGCAGAATGAATGAATGATAATATATAGATTTATTTTATTTCTATTTCTTCTTTATTTCTGTGTATGAAGAGAGATGGAATTTGATAGACTAACTTCTCACTACTGCTCAATCTTCACTATTTATATAATAGAAATAATATAATGAAAAGAAGTTTTCAGATGATTAGATTGTCTCTGAGTAGAAGACAATCTGATTTTTTAATAAGAGAGTTCTCAATTGTTTACTCAGAGAGAATCATCTTAAAAAAAAGTATACAAATACTGAGAAAGAAGAGATTGTGTAGATAATAGAAAAGAATCTGATTAAACAGTATCAAGCAGCTTTTATTGATCTGTATCATATACAGCAGAGCAGATAGAAGAACTTTTATTCTCATTCAGTTGATCAGATCTTGAATAATATATTAAAGACTTACAGATCTATAAAGTATATACAGAGATATACAAAGTTTGTAAATAGAGATGCAGATATTCTGATGAACAGCTATACTGAACTGAATATAATAAACTTTATATATCAGTGCTGAAAGAAATAACAGAGAAATGAAAGATATATAGTTGAGCCTCTTCTCTGTACAGCAGCTGACTTTCTTATAAATTATTATATACTGCTGAGAGAGCAGTTCAGATAAGAGATGCAGTTGACTGATCTGTTTACAATTGAGCTGTTAAATAAGAGATTAATATTCTGCTGATCTCTTATTCAGATCATGAATAATAATAAAATAAATCAGAACAACAGACTTGAATATTCAACTGTTGTATGATATAAAAATTATATTCTTTATTCAATATCACAGATTGTATTCTATCTATTTTATAGATGAAATATTATACAGAAGCCTCTGTCTCAGTTTCACTACTATTAATTCTGATATAATATTTACTTACTCAAGAGTAAGAATCTGTATAAATAGATCTTCTACAGAATTCATCTCAAGTGAACAAACAAGCTTTTTATATATACAGATATATCAGAGATAATAAAGAAGACTCATACTGAATGATTTACAGATGTATAGAAAATAGAGTTTAATAAAGTGAATAAGAGCAGTATCTGCAGAGCTGAGTAATGAAATAATAACTCTTTGATCAGCTGCTATTTCAGTCAGATCAATTAAAAGTTTGTATGAGAAATTACAGAGTTCAATTCTAGCTTGTTAAATAATTACTATCTTTCACAAGCTACAGTCATTTCATCAGAGCTGTTGAAGAAATCTCTCTGATTATAAATGAATGAATAATTTATCTGATTTTATTCTGAGAATAGATTCTCTTATATTATTTCTTCTGAGATCTCTGATGTGAGTCTGAAGCTGCTTGATAGTGAAAATTTATTTGACTCAGATGATCTTGCAGCTCAGAGGTTTTTACAGTTGTTAGATTATTTTTATATAGTGATACTACAGAATTCTGCTCTTCTTCAGAGGAAATTTCCAATTTATTCACTGTAAATCAACTCAGTATTTCAGTATATAGAGTATAAGCAGTTTGTAGATGCTATACAGACTGCAGAGTCAGTTCTCATTTCTTTATAGAAGATAATACTTCAATAGTCAGTGCCACAGATTTCTAAGAGTCTGAGTATTATATAGAGACAGATTAATATAATGGTGGATCAGATAAAGATCAGAGATGTATAAATGAAAAAGAAGATTGATAGAATTCAGTATAAAATTGATACAATAACAACTGAATTCTGAATCTTTCAGTCTGTCTCTGTTTCTATCTGTGTATAGAAAGATACTGTTAAGATTCTCTTCATCTCTGCATCTATATTTTTATTCTTCTTTTTATCAACTACTGCTGCTGCTGTCATCACTTCTGCTACAGCATTGTCAACTGAGAATGATATTTGAATATATCAGCTCTTTCATACAATTCAATCAGTCAATGATCTCTGAAAGAAATGAAAACAGAGATTAAATAAACAGTTCTCTGTGCAGCATCTGAAGTCATTATACAGATCTAGCTGAAGAAAGAAGAATAGTGAGTATATATTCTTTTTTCAGTAGAAGATGATCATCAATAAGATACTCAGTTATCATTATACAATGAAATCAAGATCTATTTTAGAGATTGTAAAGAAGTTTGAGTTGATGTGTATACAATTAAAAATGAGTCTGAACAAACTCTCTGTCTTTCTCAGAAGAGTAAGAAGATAATCTGTGTATATTAACTATATTATATATCTTTTAATCTTGAGTATTTATTTATTTATGCACACAGACTGCCTCAGCAGAATTTACAAGAATGAGTATTCTCTCTTTCTCTCTTTTCTCTTTCATATATAAGACATTTCTACTTTTCTCTTTCATTTATGACAACAATAATAATAAGTTGATTATAAAATCCTCTCTTTTTCTGTCTTCTCTCTCAATTTCTTTTCTCTTTCTCTCTTCAGCTTCTTTATTATTATTTACTGATATATACAACCTCTTTTGCATCAGAATTCATCATTCTCTTGTTGAAATTTATCAAGATTACTCATTTACTGTTCACTCTGTCTTTTTCTCACTTCATACACTGTATGAAATATTCATTTCATTATATCAAAGAAGAAGAACACTGACAGAGACTTGTGTATATAGTCAGAGAAGATTTTCAATTTTTTTTTTTTATAAAAAAGAAAATCAGCTTTCTTCTGTTCTTCAACAGTATTCTCTTTTTCTTCTCTCTCTGTAAATAATATGAGTATTCCTCTGCTTCTCTATTATACAGTATAGAAAGCTGATTATAATACAAGAACTCTCATTTTATATAATTCTGTTACTATTCAGTAGAATCTAACTCAGACTGAGTTGATTGATTTATATTATTCAGCTGCTGAATATCAAGATGAGTAGCAGAAATAATCAGAGTATAGTATAATATATATCAGCAATTCTCAGTTAAGTATATTTTATTATAGTTCTCAATTCTATATTCTGCTTGCTGTCTCTGATTTTGATATATTATATATCTGTATATATATCAGAGCTGATCAAGTGTTGTTTCATCATTTATTATATATTAATATCATTCTGATTCAATTCTGTGATAGAACTCTTATCACAGACTGTACACAGTGTCATACATTCTCTGAGCTTAAACTGTTCTCATTGTGTCATTATATATACAGTCACTTTGGAGAAGTATGTATCAACTGTAAATAATGTGACTATACAGTGTACTGCTTTCTCCACAGCTCTGTAAATCAGTCTGATATATATAATGATTTTTATAATAGACAGTTATTACAGCTATAAATATCAGCAGCAGATGATATGAATTATAATACTCAGTCTGATATACAGAATAATTTCATTCTTATTGAATAGAGTATATATAAAGCTTTCATTTTTCTGTTCTGTTCTGTTCTGTTCTCTCTTTTTAATCTTTATTTTTTCATTATTATTATAGATGTATATATATTATTATTATAGAGTTAGATCTAGTTGTATAAACTGTATATAATATTCAGACAGTTGATTTGTACTTCTATACAGTGTCTGAGATCAGTAGCTCTTTAGTAGAAATGAAGTCAAACAGATTATTTAGCTAATGATTATATAACTTTCTATATATAAAGTCACATATATCTGAATTTAATAGTATTTCTCTTACTAAATACAAGTATTCTGTATATATGAATATGAAATTGAACACACATCAGCAATAATCAGGTTATATGCAGTGGCATTGATGGCTGAGTGACTGTGCCTCCATATATAACCTGGTTATTGTGAGGGTTGGATTCAAACACACTGTAACCCGACTCATCTATAACTATATATAGAGTATCAATCAATCAGAATTCACTCAGTGCTCATTTAATTTGTTGTACGACTTGGAGCCAATTAGAGACTGTACAATTGTATGTCAAGATTATGTCTAGACAAAGTAGATATCTAGTAGCGCACAAGCCCACCTCCGGATATGGTCTAGAACGACACACAGCAGCCAAGCAGAAATGTGGGGGGATTGACATTAGTATTTTGACACCGCTGATATTGTCTCATTATTTTCTCGATGGTTGAATTCAATAAATAGTAATTAATCAAAACAACCATCTGGCTCGACTTTCGCAGTTTTCAAAACTTTGAGAATACTACCTTACATTTCTTTTCCACCTCGCCCAATTGATCTGGCTCCGCTGTATAAATATGCTCATCCTACGAGACACTGATATCTCTCCCATCCTTCAGGGACTTACAGTTGAGGATTGTCGACGGCTCCTCCACTGTCTGTGGAAGGCACTCGCGACTTATTCCAAGGAGAATTCATACCCCGGGAGTCCTAAATTGTTGCATCAGCCCATTCGCGAGACCATAGTTACAAATCTCCAACACACGACACTCTTTATGCCTGCCTCGGACACCAACACTACAACAGGTATCAAGGTTGTCACCCTTCCCGGAGGTGGTGGTACCGCCCAGGGGGCAATTAATATATTCTCGCCAAAGGGAGAACTACAGGGGCTTCTCAATGCGCAGCAGATTACTGCCTTCCGAACAGCGTTGGCGTCTATGCTCCCACTCTTACACCACAGACTCCCAGAACGGGCGAGTATTGTAATTTTCGGTGCTGGAAAGCAGGCCGAATGGCATATTAGACTGTCCTTACTATTATTAGCAGGGAAAATAGTCACTGTTACCGTTGTGAGTCGAAGCCGGGAGACTCTGGAGACGTTCGACAACACACTGTTAGCAGAACTTCGAAACAAATTTCCCCAGATTACATTTAGAACTATTTCCAACGGGGAGCCGAATTCTGACCTTCAGTTACGGAATGTGCTTGCGGCAAGCGATGCTATCTTTTGTTGCACACCGTCCACCCAGCCACTGTTTCCTGATGCATATCTACGATACGGTAACGAAATTGAGCATAAGATACGATTTATTTCCCTTATTGGATCATACAAGCCGCATATGGAGGAGATCGACTCTGCGACGCTGCTATCGGGAACCAAGATCCTAGTGGACTCGAAAGAAGCATGTCTTGAGGAGGCCGGGGAGTTGATCAACGCGAAGGTGCAGAAAAACCAGCTGGTAGAAGTGGGTGAATTACCGTTCCCATTCGATGTGTCTGATGGGACAGAGGTGCCACTTTGGAGGGGAAATACGATATTCAAGTGTGTTGGGATGGGCATTATGGACATTGCTATCAGCAGGGAATTGCTCAGAGTAGCTAGCGGTAAAGGCATTGGCATCCAGATTGAGTCATTTTGAAAAAATTTAATGTATTTAGCTGTGCATACGGCAGCCTATAGTGACAAATGTGTCAAATGGGTTTTTTTGATGTTTTCCACTGTAATTACTTAATTCCACTTACAGACACTCATTGATAGAAATTTATAGAAAGCAATGCACCTTGATTTCTTGAATTCTCTAAGTACATTTTAAAACAGTGTGTGACGGATTAGCACCCATTAGTAGTTAACTTATCTCTACCACTCATTCACCCCCTCACATGCTCTTGCACACCTATGAAATGCTTTTCCTCTCACAATTCTGCTCCACACTCATGTAGTCTCTAACAATTCCTCCACATAATCTCTAACATTCTTCCACTCTGTGTCCCACTACAGTGTGATCTTCAATATTCCTCTATTTCAATCTCTTTTCTATAAAAATTCTCTTTATACAACCTTTTCTTCTGATCTTTCTTCTTTTTCTTTTGTAATCAATTCACAACCTGTTATCAGAATAGTGTCAAGTTTATTGATAGTACTATTGAAATAGATTATATAAACTGTATAGATGATATGAATAGTTTAATCTGTAATAATAATAATATATGACAGATTAGCACTCATTAGTAGTTAACTCATACAATCAACTCTCTATCACTTATTCACCCTCTCATATACTTTTATATATCTATAAAACATCCCTCTTCTCACAATTCTGTTCTGTACTTATATAGTCTCTAATAATTTCTCTGTATAATCTCTAATATTCTTTTACTCTGTGTTTCACTGCAGTATAATTTCTGATATTCTTTTATTCTGATTTTTCTTCTATAAAAACTTTTTTATACAATCTCTTCTTCTGATTTTCTTTTTTTTTCTTTTCTTAATTAATTTATAAACTATTATTAGAATAGTATTAAGTCTGTTGATAGTACTGTTGAAATGAATTATATAAACTGTACAGATAATATAAATAATTTAATCTATAATAATAATAACATCTGCTTAATTAATAATATATCTATTATATTATAAATCAATTCATCTGTGTTTAAGACTCAAGTATTTAGTTATTAATTTCTGTATTTAAATGTATTAATTATATTAAAAATCTGAGTATTTTATTATTAGTTTCTATATCTGAGTGTATTGATTATATTAAAAAATCTGAGTATCTAATTATTATATAAGTTTTTTATAAATCTGAGTACTTTTATTATTAGATATATAGATTGTTATGTCTAAGTATCTATAATACAATCAACTGTTTTATAAAGAGATCTAAATGTCTATAAATTTATAATACTGTGAATAGTATTTATAAAGAAGTTTGATAAACTTAGTACTGTAATACTATAAATAATATTTATAAAAGATCTGAATATCTATAAGTATACTATCTTCTCTAGAATTATATATCTTTAGATACTGAAATAAGTTATCAACAAATCTATAAGTATTTACTGTATTTGAATATAATAAATAATAATCTAGATCTATAAAATATTCTTCAGCAGTAAGCACTGTAGATAACTGAGTTGTAATAATGATTTACTGAAATAAATATATCTATATTTACTGTTTCCTCTACATTCACATTTTATAAGAAGTTTCTAAGAGAGAAACTTTCAATTCTCAATAAATATACAGAAGATCTAGTACTATATCTTATATAAAAGTTAAAAATGAATATTAAATTGAATATTGATAGTCAAATAATAGACTTGCTATTGAATCAAATGTGATATATTTATAGCAGATTAAATAATAATATATTAGTAAAATTTCAATTCTGAATAAATTATTATTCAGATAATCAATATATATCAGAGTTAGTTTTCTGATAACTTGATATACTTTTTTTAATCTCATACTTCAAATTAAAATATTAGACTGACTGAATAAAATTCATCAGAAAAACACTCTATTAACAATCTATTTATCTGAATTTAATTATAAACTTCTAAAAGTAGATGAATAGAACTGAGATAATATTATCAAGATCAATATACTGTTCAAGAACTTGAACTTTCAGTTATACAACTGAAGTATAGAGTGTTTGAAACTCTCAATATATAGTAAATATTATATAGATTTCTGTCTACTGAATAATAATCTATTTCAATTCTGTATATTTCAAAACTGTAAAGAATTCTGCTGAGTAAATATATATATCTCAAACTGCTCTACAGTACTCTCTATATCTAAATCAGAACTGATAAACTGAATTTCTTATATAAATACTGAATATTCAAGAGTTTTCAATATTTCAGATAAGAATGCAGCTGAGTAAATTGATAGAGAAATCTGTTTATACTGTGATAAATCAGAGTATTTCTGTAATGCACTTACTTATCATTTCTTGCTTATCATTTCCTTATATATTATCTTCATTTATTGTTACCTTTTATTACTATATTCTCACTACCACTATTTCTATATGTATATATATATATTTATATGTACTCTGTATATCTTTCTTTTCTTTTTCTTCTTCTTCTCAGCAATTAGCTACTATTACTACTAGTACTATTATTACTACTATTACTACTATTACTACTATTACTACTATTACTACTATTTCTACTACTATCAACTACTATATATTACTATTCCACACTATAACTATCTTTTACTATTCACTCTTCACACTGTTATCATCTTTCACAGTTTCTAATTACTCAATTTTTGAGAGACAGTTCATTGAGTAATAATTATAATCTTTATATACAGTGTCTGTTGTACTCATACCACTGCTGAATCTGAAGCAACTGATATTATTGAAGAAAATCATCAGATGTATATTTATAAATCTAAAAGTATACAACAAATATCTTTCTCTTCAGAAAAATTAAACTCAGAGTATAATTCTGAGAAAAATAGCTTCTCTGAAGATCTGAATATAATTGAGACTGAGAAGATAGCTATAGCTAGATAAATTAAAAAGTTATAAGCTAAAAAGAAATTATAAGAACTATAATATAAATGCAATACTTTACTGCAAGAACTAGACTGACTGTGTGATTATATATAAGACTGAAATCAAATTTTTCCTCAGTTCTATTATTAGATATCTTAGTTCTGATCTCATATAGTGTTTAGTAAATTAGTCACTTTACACTGTTTATATTATAAATCTAGTCTCAGATTATATTTTACTAATAAATTAGTGATTCTGATCTTATTTGATTTCATTTTACAAAATGAAATTAAATGAGATTATGATTTACTCTATATAGATTGGCAGCAATAGATAGATTGACAGTGATAGATAGATTGACAGCAGTAGATAGATTGATAATGATAGATTAACAGTGATAGATTAGCAGTGATAGATTAGCAGTGATAGATTAGCAGTGATAGATAGATTGGCAGTGATAGATAGATTGACAGCAGTAGATAGATTGACAGCGGTAGATAGATTAGCAGCAATAGATTAGCAGTGATAGATAGATTAATAGCAGTAGATAGATTGACAGCAGTGAATAGATTAACAGCAGTGAATAGATTGACAGTGATGAGTAGATTGACAGCAGCACTAAGTAAGATAGAGATAATATCTTCATCAATTATATCATCAGATTGATGTATTATATAATCATCAGAATGGAATCAAACTTGAATTAAAATTATAATCAGTCTCAGATTATGTTCTGATTTTGATAGTCAGTCACTTTATATAAAATATCATGATTTTTTAGTTTCATTTCATTTATATTTTGATAATTCTAATCATTTTACACTCTTATTCTGATTCTGATCTCACTAAAATCATGTCAAGAAATGAACTGAAATTAAATTAAATTAAATCAAATATGTAATTCATGATTCTGACAGCCAGTCTAATAAGAACTGAATGAAATAATTCTAATTATTTAAAATACACTTGAAATGTCTCTGATTTATGATGGAAATACTACTAATATAAATCTTAATTATAAAAATATTATCAGCACTTTCAGATCACTGAAATCTATATCAAAAATATCTAATCTCAGATCACTGAAATTTATACTGAGAATATTCAATATCTTAATAAAAAATACTGTGACTATATAGTAATTTCAGTTTATTATTCTTCCATGGTGTACACCACCCTCTATTATCAAGAATGGTATATGCTACTGCACTAGTTATTTTGTATAAGAAGAGCTGCAAAGCTTAGAAGCTTTGAGAAACTCAAGTAATCTTTAAATTATATCTGATAGTATATCTAAACTGAAGAAAGTATATACTTCTGAAGATGTGATAATTCCATCTACAATATAAATTATAATTATTATATCAGTATAATCATCTCTATACTTGAGAACTTGATTATATAAATAAGCAGTGAAGTCAGAATACTTCTGATTGCAATATTGATAGTAGATAACTTATCTCAAAATATAAAATAAGCTGAGAGTGTAGAAAGACAGTGTAGAGATAAACAATAATTCAAAGAATCACTCTATTTATAAGTTTAAAAAGAAGATATCAGTCAGTTGTATGATTAAGAGAATATTATCAAAAAATCACTTCATAAAAACAATATTCTTAAGATACAGAGAAAAGTATATGATTGATGATAATCATTATAAATATCTATAATCAACATTTATTTCTTGTGTTCAAATTACAGAAAATATAACTAATCTCTGAAAATCTATATAAAGCAGTATATAGAGTAGCAGCTTTTATATTCAAGAACAATAAACTTCTTATTTACAATATCTTGTTGAAAGAGATTCTAGCAATATATAATCTTTATCAAATGAAGCTTAAAATACAGAAGAAATATTAGTATACAGAAGCTACTCAGTAATAAATAGCAGATGTTATAAACTTTATAGATAGTTTAGCAAATATTAAAAATAAATAAAATACTTAGATGACTGATTTTTATCAAGAACTGAAATATATATATTATAAAACTGAATACTCAGCAATTCTCAAAATTTCATTATATAGCTTAATTAATTCATTCAATATTAATACTTCAGTAAATGATCTTGATTCAGTATATATAATACAAACAGTATTTTCAGAGAATATATT